TACCTAGAAAGGACTGTCATATTTTGGTGTTCAGATTCACTATCTCCGGCTTGACAGAGCATCCTTTTAAAAAGTTGACTCTTAAAAAGCCTTTTGCAAAATATGTGTTTGGGGAAAAAGAAGACATCTATGAAGATGAGATAGCTGGGAATACATAAGCCTGACGATCCTTTTGTAGTTTTGAATTTGTGTAGGTAGCATACTCTGGGTGTTGGTGGAGAAGTCATTGAAACTTAAGGCTCCTCTGGATTATAAGAAAATAATCTTAAATTTCCTCTTTTGGAGAATTTCTTTAGTAATACAAAGCCTTCAATATTGGGTGTTTGGTAATCTGAGGACTAGTTAATTACTCCTGCATTGGTTTTCATCATCTTTAGCAACTGACTGCTAAAGGATTACATTCAAGTAGTCAAGTATGCACAGCTGACAGACTTCCTACTGTTTGGTAAAAGTCCTAAACATTCTATTCTCATGGGTTTTTAACAGAAATATTTGGTGATGGTGTCTCAGTAGAATATCATCCCAGCTGGAGGAGGAAGAATAATTTTTTAAGTAAAAATACTCAGTTTACTTAAAATGCAAATAAATGCCCATAGTCATCTCAGATAGCAACTTGAAATGTTGAAGTGTTCCATAGCATATCTTTTGAGGAATTCCGTTGTTGCTGAAACTATTGTCTTGAACTCGAAAGTAGACTGATGAAATCATAAATTGAGAGATGCCCTGTCTTACAAAACTGACTCTTACATTCAAACACTTGTACCTTTTGAATGCTTTTGGAACTGTGTGCAAGGAACACAATTCATAAAAAGGTATTTTTTCACTTTAATTGGCCAGGCCATGAAAAATGGGGCCTAGTGACTGAAGGAATAAAATATGGAAGTGTATCTGAGACCAGTTAGAAATACATCACTTCCATTTGCACCCAGCTCCTTTTGTGTGCGTATAGCAGCCTGTGAACCTGAACCTACATCTGGGGCAGCTTGGATTTGTTGGTTTGTTAGAAACAGTTCAGGGGGACTTCTCTTGTCTGTGACTTAAAGCAATGGAAGTGAAATGTGCAGAAAACTTGAGGACAGTTGTGGAATACAAGATTTGTATGCAAAAGAGGAGCTAAGCTACAAGGAGTTTTTAATTGGCCAAGCTGTTTGGGGAAAACAAACAAAAAACCCAGTAGCAGCGTGTGGCAAAACTTCTGGATACTGTGTTCTTGGCATTAGTCCAGTCGAAGTGTTAAGTATCCTGTTCTGAAGTATTTTGAAACAATGTAGTGTGACTGTATGAATATTTGCACTTCTCTGCACTCCGCTCCATTAAAAGTTGTGGCCTGTTAGTAATAAAGAAACAGGTTTTCCCCTGTCCCTGCACTGGACCGTGATGGCTTTTTCCCTAAGCACTCGCTCTCCCTGCTTCTAGGCTGCTGTTTTCTCATCTTATTTAATGTTTTACTAGACACCATTAAAGAGGCTATAGGTAGCATTCTGAAGAAATCTTAAATACTGTTCTCACAGGCTTGAACCTTGTTTGTTTTGGAGGCGAAGAAGCACCCATGAAATCAAAGCAGTTCTTGGGTCTGTTTTCATAGCTGGTGTTGGTTTTTCCTATCGGAAATTTCTTGAACTTGTAGATTGCTTGTGACTTTAATTCTATGCCTGTTAATATGCACTGAGTGTTACTTTTTTAATTCTACCTCATGATACGCTGTTTTTTACAAGAGTATTGTGCTGAAACATTGGACATTAACTTTTCTGTATAAAGAACTGTTACTCCAAAGTGACACGTCATCACATCTAGATACTATTGGCAATGCACCGAGCGGTGGGTTGACCAGCCCTGCCCAGCTCTGGAAGCCAGGGCCACTGAGCAGGAGTGTAGGACTGATGCTGAAAGTTGACCTGGTTAAGGGGTTTGAGGATATGTTTATGCTTTTGTAGCGTGTCCAGCAGATTCATATTAAGATGGATTCTGTCCATGTATGCTGTAGAAATGTTACCTAGTTCTTCTGATTACATTTGTAATAAGTTTGAATTAGAGTAAGTAGGTAATCTTAGATTTTGATCATTTGATTATTCCTTTTCAACAATACTTGGAAATTTTCAATGAAGGTTAATCTGTTTTACCTATGAAGTTCATGTAACACTTACTGAAACACTATTCTATATAACTGATATGCCTTGCAGTTGCACCTTGGTGGAAGGAGTGATTTTCAGTTGTCTTTCTGAATAATATTACCTTGCCTTATTGAATTAATGAAGTAATTTGTTGGTGAGCTTTGGATTATTTCTAGATAGTAAAAAAAAAAAAATAAATTATTGTTATGTTCAAAAGATGAATTCTTAACCTTCCAGAACTATATAAAACTGTCTGAAACAAATATAATAAAATGTTTCAAACAGTAGATGAAAGACTGCACTAACAGCAAAGTATGATAGTGGCTTATACCAGAGGTTTCTTTAAACTGGTTTACTTTCGACCACTCGAGTGTTACATCACTTGATAAATTTTACAGTATTTCTACTAAAGATAGAGCTCCCTATTTGATTATAAAGCACGCAGTATGTTTTTTAAATGCATGGTTCATATTCATTAACTTCTCTAGTAAAATAATTCCTCCATTCACAGCATGGCTGATCAGCAGAAGCAGGTAAACTGCATAATTAAGATCTCTGTAGGAATGTCAACGTATAGCAGTGTCTACAGGAACCAAACTAGTGTTTGAAGCTAGTAATCCTTTTGTAATAGTCCAGTGACTGTATGTTGTGGGAGTAAATGCATTTTCTGAGTATTCCATTAGAGGTCAGTCTATAAATCAGTGCAGCACTGTTAGACGTTTGTGGGGAGGGGGAGAGAAGCTATTAATGGGACTATACAATGACATTCATGTATATGTACTTTCGCTGTATGAGGGGGGTGTGTGTATTTCAGTGTATATACAGCCATGGGGCATCAGTCCACTTGTCAATCATGGGTAGTTCAGGGAAAAATGTAACCTCCAAACAGAACTATTGGGGATAGGAAAAAAAGCACAGTGGTACAGAGACACACACACACACACGTTTGCACTCTTGGAGTCTTGGTAAGGACAGTTTGATTGCCTATTACCAGAATTAGAATGTAAGCATCAGGTTCTTCTGCAGTTTTGGGGGGTGGGGGTGGTGATTGATTTTGGTGGGAGGTTTTTTGTTTGTTTGTTGGTGGTGGGGTTTTTTTTAATTTGGGTAACACTGATGTGGAGAAGGTCCTGATACCGTAAAACATGGGTCTGTTGCTCTATGAAATGTGAACTCTTAGAAAAAAGAAATACACTTGCCAAATGAAAGCTTTTAAAAAATCTAGTTTACAAGATTCTAAGAAGTTGGAGTAAAAGGAGAAAGTCAACAGCCTGTAATATTTTTGTCCTGGAAGAAAAAGAAACTTCTCATTTCCTGATCTTAGTCAAAGGTGCATTTTCTTAAGCACTAAGTATCTTCAGTTAAGTATAAGGTTTTTAATACAGGAACAAATTGTGCATGTAGGATATTTTGAAATACCTGAGATTTCATAGTAAAAATTGTAGCCTTTTAATACAGTATAGAAAGTATCAGAACTGCTCTGAAAATATTGTACTTACAGCCGTACATAACTTAATATTTGTGGACAGTTTCTCTTGCTTGCATAATAAATTAAACATTTAATAATTCAATGAATTAAAATCTATTTTAATGTATTTATCTTACACTGAGCTCTGTTCTGTCATGCTCACTGGTTCTTGCCTACTCTCTACAATTAAGAGGGGAAAAAAAACAGTGGTTAAAGCAAAACAACTGCTGTGCACAGGTCTTTTTCCCTCCATGGGTTTTCTTTGCTACTGTCCTTACTGTCAGGCATGCTTATGAGAAGAAATGGCTCACTCATGAAGCCTAGAAAGCAGGACATATGTTGGAGCTAGTATGATAATTACAAACTAAGTGTAATTAACCATTCCATTGCCTGAGAGAGTATCTGTCGGGTAGAGGGCTCCTTTTGTTCAAACAGCAAACCCTTGAAGGCAGCATTGTTGTTCTTGTAAAATTTTGCTTAAGGAGTCTTGCAGTGGTGAGCAGGCTATCTGTCCACAGGGAACAGCCTGAAACTATCCTGCCTGCTCTGCCATGGATAGCTGTGTCCAACGCAGAGGGTTGTGGGTTGCCTGTGCCAAGAGTGACACTCTGCCCTGTTACACTTCCACTTGCAAAGGTTTGGGCTCCAGTGAAGCCACTAGGCACAGTGAAAACAGCATCTGCATAAAACCGAGTTCTGCCTCAGCATCACCTGAGGAGCAGACAAATGTCACAGTGTCATACAGGACCAGTGAGGCACTGCATGCTCAGGGCATGTTGTGCATGTCACTTGGTTATCTGCTGTTGTGTTTCCTGTAAATGAGGCCTCAACACATGTAGGAGCAACTTGACATCTGGGTTTACATCACAAGGTGGATTTGAGTTGGGCCAAAGGAATACAAGCTAAGCAGCTAAGGAAATGAGCACGCTTTGTTGCCCTGGCATTCCTATAAAGGCAGTAATACTAAGCTGCTGCTACAGTTCTCAAGCTTGTGCATCACAGTGCTTTTCCATCAACTTTTCCTGAAAATGAGATGAGTCAAAATTTGACTGTGAACATCTTATCCATACAGCAGCCCTGTTTGATGCAGACCACCAGAGCAGGTAGCAGTAAACAGTCTGTACCCTGCCTAAAATAATCTGCTATATCCGGTTTACCTATCCTGATGCTGCAACAATGCTGTTTGGGCTTGTCAGCATGTGTGGCTTTCTCTTGCCTCCTCATTATACACTGCATAATAAATGAGGGGAAAGCTGTCTCTCTAGTTGTTAGAGATGTGATGGCATTAGTTTCTATGAGAAAAACCTAACTGGACTATCACAGCCTGACTGACACGTGGTATTTATTTCTCATAGCTGTTGCCTCTCCCAGCCACACTATCGTTTCAGAACTGCTGACAGCTGTTGCCTTCATATTAGTTTACTTTCCCATGCAAAAGCCCCGCTCCATCCCCCCACCCCCACCCCCCAAACAGCTAAGAACTGGCCAAATGTCATTGCCTGATTAGCATAAAATGGGTATACATGATAATTTGTGTGCCAAAACTCACTGGACCCGTCTCTTCACTGATTATGAGTATCTGTCCTCTTAAACATAAAACATCTGTAATTAGTTAAGCATACAAAAGTATGTATTGTACAACTGTCAGTGGTTATAAAGCAAAGTGAAGATGATAGTTGAGCATAGTTCTGTCATGACAGACCTACAGTGCGCTCCATCTAACCGTGCCACATACATAAGCAAAGACAGCAACAGACCAGGACTCCACTTGCTTCCTTTTTGCTACAGTAATGCCTATCACCAATTAGCAGCAGGCTTATGTTAAACTCTTACCAGCAATGCTTCAGATTTCCCAACATTAGAGAAGTATGTATCTTCCACAGAGAAGAAGGATGCAAATTTTTTTATTCTGCTAAGGAGTGATTACAAAAAACAGCACACTAGTAAAAATCAGCTTCTGCCAGTAACAAACATTCAGTAAACATTTTATTTAAATGCAGATAATCACAACATTCAGATACAAGAATGCTCACTTGTGCCTGGTCATTTTTGACTGTGAAGCTAGGGACTGTATTACAATACACTGATTAGAATCAAATGGAAAACTCAAATTAAAAAAAGTAATAGCCACTCCAAAACTTATGAAAAGACCAATTCAGACCAGTTTTTGAAAGCTTTCCTACCCCCCATCATCCAAAATATTTGGTTTTATATAGTTTTATAAAATAAAGTCCCGCAGGAGAATCAAATGCTTTTTATTGAGACCCTCACCTGGTTTATGGTCATGCTTGCTCTTCTGTCCCTTTCTCTAAGGCCTGAAGTCTCATATCTCTCAACTCCCAAGTCTGTAAGACACACAATACTTCACATTTCTGTAAGTCTTTTTCAATACTCACCTACTGAAGTCCTTAAACATGTCTCCAAATGCTGTATCTTTCCTACATAGCTGCTTCTAAGGTCATCTTTGGCTGTCGTCTCTGCTACACTTACAGACCTCCACTGAAGTGGGTAATACCCAGAAACCTCATCTTGTCAGTGCTGCTGTACAGTTCTGTCTTACAGAACTGTTAAAGAGTACATATCAAGTAGGCAGAACTACAAGTATCACGTAAAAGTATCTTCTTGTGATCCATTATTCCACAGCCGAAATGAAACAGAAGTAATTTGCAAAAGACAAGATACCTCAGTACAAGAGAGTTATGTTTGTGAACTAATTTCACAACTGCGGGAAGCTGAACTATTTCATGAGCATTACAGAAAGGGCCATCTTCTTTCTGGCCCCACAGCTGTAAGCAACAGAAAAAGCAGCAATGCAAAAGAAAAAAAAAAAGCAGAACAAACTCCATGTTTACAAGTAGGTTTTTTAACAAGGAAGGACACTTTAAAGCTTTAGTAAATTTGCTGTTTCATTCCTTCCACTTTTCCCTTTTTCACATGAAGGCACACGTACATATACACACACAGAGATCCCACTTTGAACTGGAGTCAGCTTGCACTGAAGTTAAACATTCAGTAACCACTCTTACGCTGCTGAACGAAATGTTCATCTTAAAGCCAAGCATCAAAACAGCTGGCAGAAGAGTTTGCATAGGCTTAGTTTAAGCTTGAAGTTCTAAACTTCAGTCATCCTCATCTGGATCCGTCCTTTTAGCTTTAAACAATAAGGACTACTTAGGACCCTAAAACATTTGAAAATGCAGTTCTTAAATTGAGATTTTGAAGTTTATCAGGCAAGGGAATCAATTTTCATCAGTCCCTCCTTGATTTTCATGTTCTACAATGTGGACAGTGGAGCACATTCCATCACGGAGCGTTAACAAATTTTGGGAGTGATACAGAATAAGCCGCTGGACTAATACAAGTCTTTTTTTAAAAAAAACTTGTATTTGTCTAGTAGCTCCATTATGGGTAAACTCACCTGCCAACAGATAAATACTTTAAGAAGTTCATCTTAATTGCACCAAGGTTTAGATGCATCACCATTCATCCCATAAATATTGAAGGCCAAGACTAATTACCTTTCACACTACGCAGGCACTGTTCCCTGGGATTAAGTAACATCATATGTGCCAATACACAAATGAACAAGAGAGCCGAAGGAAGATAGTGGTTTTCACAATAGCTTTAGCAAGAATTCATAGGTTGCATTGATTATGCCCCAGGACAGGACAGAACGATGGTAATTCAGATGGGCTCCTCTGAAAAGGTGGATCAGTTTTCTATCACGTTCCAGCCAGATCTTCACAAAGACTTTTGAGAAGGACTGAAATTCACCACCAATTTGAGCTTGCATGCGAGTTTTTACAACATTCACTGGGAAAAACAAGAATCCCAGCATGGCACCCAACAGCCCTCCACAGATAAAGTCATTGACCAAATGAGTGCTGTACGAAGTTGCTTCAGGCAGACACTGTTTGATAGGTCCCCGTAGGCCAAAGAAGAGTGCATTACTGGGTCCATTTCGGAGCAGAATAGGCACCAATCCCCGATAATATTCTCTCATCCCATAGACTTTCAGTACCTTGAAAGCCTGGTAAGTGTTTGTAAATTTATCGTGGTGTTTGTAATCCTGAAGCAAAGTCTGAACTCGCTCAAAAGGTGTAAGAACAGCTTCTGTGGTCCCTGCAAGCACTGCTGCCATGCTGCGAGTGAGTAGTTCAGGAGCACTCGTGTGGCTATGGAGCAGGGAGGAGAAATCTTCATACAAGCCAAACATTAAAGCCAGCGTTGTCGTTTTCTGCATTAATGGAGGAAGGATGCCACGATAGAGATTTCGAATTCCATCCTTCTGCAGCTGATGTACTGCATCCTTTGTTTTCAGGCCATACAACTGCTGTCGAAAGAGGACCTTCTGGATGGGAAAAGTGACTGCTATATTTGTGAAGGCCGCACAGTAGCCACAAAGATAATGTTTACCAGAGGTAGCCATTATGTCATTGCTTAAATATTCCTTTGAATTCGTCGGGGCAGAACCTTCTGAATCCATCATACTGTTTTTCTTACTGTAGTATATCTCAGTTCTCCTTCCCTACATCAAAAAAGAAAAGAACGAACACGAGCTGAGCTGCAGGTGACCCTGCAGATTTTTTCACACTAGTGGATCATTCAAATAGCACCTGGTATCTTACATCCGAGGAAAGCCCCTAAAATTTGACGGAGAAAAGCAACAAATGCCAGATCTGACAGATGTTGCACTGTTTTCTACTCAAGTCTCAGAGACCTGAAAAAGCAGCAGTTTTTCCTTTCTGTACACTTGCAAATTAAAATAGAAATAAATTGGGAAGGAAATTGAGATATGAACTCCTCAAGTGCTACATTACAAATGACAAGAGGAAGCTTACACATTAGATTTCCCCATTCACTGCGCCAAGGAATTCAAACAGTGAAGGGTCTCTCACACTAATAAAAACACACATCACTGGGACAGTGGTGGTACTGACAGAAGAGAATTTAAGAAAAAAAGAAAAAATAAAATACATGCAGTAGCATTACAAATTCTAATCACTCTACTCTGCCTTTCCCCGTGGCAGAAAACAACAGATAATTTAAATAACAATTTGTCATGGTTTAACCTGGCCAGCAACTAAGCACCACACAGCCACTTGCTCACTCTTCTCCCCCTGGCCCCAGTGGGATGGCGGGGAGAATCAGAAGGGTAAAAGTGAGAAAGAAACTCATGGGTTGGGATAAAAACAGTTCAATAATTAGAAAGAAATAAAAAAAAAAATCGTAAGGGGAAAAAAACAACAAAAAGAGAGAGGAAAATGAAACCCAAGAAAAGCAAGCAATGCAAATGAAAACAATTGCTCACCACCAACCCACCGATGCCCAGCCAGTCCCTGGGCAGCAGCCCCCCCCGCCAACCTCCACCCCAGTTTTATTGCTGAGCACAAGCATGACATCATATGGTATGGAATACCCCTTTGGTCAGTTGGGAGGGGACACAGCTGGGACAGTTGACCCCAACTCCTTGTGCAGCCCCAGCCTGCTCAGTGGCAGGGCAGTGTGAAGAGCAGAAAAGCCCTTGATGCTACGCAAACACTGCTCAGCAGTAACTAAAAGATCCCAGTATTACCAACACTGTTTTCATCACAAATCCAAAACTTAGCCCCATACAAGCTACTATGAAGAAAATTAACTCTATCCCAGCTAAAACTAGTACACAATTTTAATCACAGGCTTCAATTAAACTACAAGAACACTTCTAACACAGTTTTGAAAAATTCTGAAAGTTCCAGTTAATTAACCTGCAGCCTCATCTGCAGAGAAAGACAGCATCTTGAACCCACACTTCATTTCCATGTTCTGTCGAGAAGTTTAAAGACCTTGAGCTTGGCTAGATCTGACATCCTAAAGGACACGTAAACAGAGACAGTTCTACCAAATAAAGCAGAGAAGTACTGAAGTAATCATTACCAGCCAAGACTTGTTTGTCATTTAAAATAGGATTACTTATTCAACAATTATAAAACACTGTTTTGCAGCTGATCTGAATTCTAACTTAACTCAAGCTGTGCTGTAATGGAAGTCAGTAACAATCAAGTGGGGCTGGTGGTGGTTTGTGAACTTCAGATACTCCCCACCAGCAACATGCATGAGACTTCCATGATTTCAAAATGGTATTTGGGGCTAATACCCCTGCTTGGTGTAAGGAACTGTTTCTCAAGGTGCAGCCACTACAAGGCTGTTATGTGAAGGACGCATGGCAGAGGTTATACAGAAACAACCTGGATTGCTCAAAGCAACCTGACGGATTATTTTGACCAAGTACACAATTTATTTTTTAAACAAAACACATATATAATACCTGGATTGGCTTTCCCCTACAGTTACATGCTATTTAATCCTTTAAGGTCTGGCAAGTGAAAATGCCACCTAAATAATTTACAAAGATGAAGTGTTTCTGTCAATACAAACAGTAATATCAGAGACAGAGATATGCACCAGTTTAGACTATTATTCAGATTACTGTAGTTCTACTTGCATATACTAAAAAAGCCACATATGCAGATATGCTAGTCTTAGGGGACAGTGGGTCATACTAATTCAACTAACACAGCGTGGAAGAATCTCACCAGAGAAAACACTGTTAAGGAGATGATTCAAAAGGCCTTTGACAACTAGCCATTTATATGGATGGCAGCTGCCTGTGGCCAAAACATATTTTTCCCTCAAAAGAAACTCGTAATAAATAAAATAAAATTTAAAAAGAGACCTTTAGTTTAGTTTCAGAAGCTACATGCTCTTTTTGGTGTAACTACTGGATCTGTCCAGTAGGGAAGTGTTGAAGACTGCAGCGATCCTCACGTAAGGAAGTCATTATGCTTCTGAGTCGGGAACTTGCAAGACCCAGGCACAGCAAGTCCTCCCAGAAGTGTTTATGACAGAACCCTTGCTTTCACACATAATTTGTAAGGCCTGTGCCACCTACAAGTACTAGATCACAGCAGCCACTTTGTTAGAATTTAACATAAAAGAAACCATTCTCAAAAAAGAGTAGAAGTTTTGGATCAACAGCATTGCCTATACATACAAACCCCTGAAGCTGCTGCAACACCCCATTTAAACACAGAAGTTCCCCTCAACCCAGGAGCCAATTTCAGAGCGCTCTGAGCAAGGGGGCACATGTGAACCTTTTTGACATCATGTTCCCTGATCCAAGATCTGTACATCAGGTGCCTGCTACTGTCACCATCTTGTGGTATGCACATCTAGTACTTCTAAAGAAGGATTCCAACCCATTTACCTGCCTAAACGACCATGGCCTTCAAAATGTTTGCATGTAATCCACTAGGTCAGAAGAACACAAGGGAAAGAATAAAGAAAGGACATTTGTTACCTGATATTGCATTATATCTCTGTATTTGTAATACTGGTAAGAGATTACAGTGTTTCCCATCATCCTGACTGCTGTGGAACAAATGTGCTACCTAGGAAGTCCTCCTGGCCCAATCACAGTTTAAGATTACTCTGGGAACTCAACACTCATTCAATCAGTAAATTAAATCAGAGTAATACTACAAACTCACCCTCTTTCGCCATCAACTATGAGAAATATTCACCCTACACAATTAGCCAAATCCTGAAGACATGCAGGTGTGTCAGTTAACATGGAAGGTTTATGGATTTGTTCATTTGTTTCTCCAGCTGATCAGCTACCACTACAACATACGCCAGATTACAGCTCAGGGCTCACCAGCCACTGGCTCCTCGCCACTGACAGCCCACTGGAAGCACCGAGCACTTCCCGAAGCACACAGCGCACTTCCAGACTCACTGCATTCTCGGCGCAGGGCTTCCCACGGTGCAGCTGCCCGGGCAAACCCGCCGGTCTGGTGCCGCTGAGGCAA